TATAGTAGGCCTCAATATTTAGTCTGAGAAAATTGTACTTCTTTCAGTCTATATTCCACTAAAAGGTTTGGGAATGAGGTGGGAACAAAAAGGAGACTAATAGGGACAAGAAGAGAGGGGGCAAAGTCACTAAGAATATGATATATTTGTGACCCTGTGCCCAAGAAGAAACATCCCTTTTTACCTAGGCTTGCTTCCCTATTGATTGATGCAGTAATTAATCATTTGAAATGCTGTAGTCCCTGGGCAAGAAAATTTTATCACTTCCAAGCAGAAGAAGAAACATTATATAATCATAAAAATTAGACTTGAAAGACATCTCAGAATTAATCTGGTAAAACTTCCCAGTAAATTAGACATTCTTTCTACAGTTAATCCTCCACACTCTACTTGAATTTCTCAGGTGTTAGGTAGGTCACAATCTTCTGAGATAGCCCAAATTGTGTTGAGCATCTATAATTGAGATAAAGTTCTTTCTCATGTTAAGAGGAAATTCATCTCCCACCAACTGAGTCAAATTTTGTCCCTAAAACCTCACACTTGGCTCCCTCTTCTGCAGTTTGATGTTATGTTCACAAACTTAGGCTTTTGAGTCAGCTGGACTTGAGTTCAACTCTCAGTTCTTTCCCTTGCCCATGACCTTGGCAAGTCTACTTCTCAAAGAATCAGAGTTCTCAGCTATAAAGTTGAAATACTGTAATACCTGTCTTATAGGATTGTTGTGAAAATTGGATGAAGTAATGTATATAAAGTGTATAGCCCAGTACCTGACACACAGAACATTATCAATAAACAGAAGCTAGTATTATTATTCTGCTTGACAGCCTTTCAGATATTTGAAAACAACCTTATTTTTCCATTTAGTCTTCTCTTCTCCAAACCGATCACCTCCTTCTTCAATCATACTTTAAAATATGGCAAAAATTATTCTTTCCCAGGTCTGGGGGCTACACTTGTTTATAGCTTAAGTTTGCACTTGAGGTCTAGTTTAAATGATACCTGGCTAATGCTCCCTGATACAACTGGCAGTTTACCTATGTTCAGAAATTGGGAGGAATTTCCTCTAATTAATAAAACTAGATAGAAAAGCAATTCCATAGCTCATCTGAGTGACTCCACCATAAGCTCACCTGTCCTTCCTGACTGCACTCTGGTTTAAAATCACAGGGTCTGTACTTTGAGAGGAGAATACCATTTTCTTACTCATCTGGTCTCCACAAGAAGGGATTTTGCTAGCACCTTCTTCACTGTCTGGATTTTAAACTATGTGATAAATAAGAACATAAAGTGTGCAGACAGTGAACCAAAATATCATCTCTATTATTGATAAAGTGCAGGTTGGAGGATACCAGTTAATGTGAGTGCCAAAGTAGGTTTACTGACTCATTCCTAAACCCCCTTCCTACCTATCTGATCCTTGGAATATGCAGGTTCACTAGCTGTCACTGGTCCAGGTGGAAAGGAGAGAAGAAAGAGATCACAGCTCTTGCACTCAAGACCTTGCTTAATTAGCTCCACCCTATTGGAATCTTGGCTTCTTGTCCGTGCTTTAGTCTAGCCCTTGGAGGTAAAGTGAGTTGCCTGGTAGACAGGCAATAGCCATTAGTCTAAGTTTCCCAATAGAGTGGAGTAGAAGGATGCAAAGAATCCATGTCCTTGATGACATCATTATGCTACTAAACCAAATCTGGAAGCACCTACCTCCAGACATCTCTTTCATGTGACGAATAAATGTCATCATTGTTTAAGCCACTTTCAGTGAGGTAGTCTGCTACTTGCAATTGAATGTATTTTGTTACAAGCATCAGTTGCAAATACTGTCACTAGACCCCACTTTATAACATCTTTCAGCAGCTTACCCTTTCTCTGCATAGGTGAGTGTGTATACACACACAAACAAATAAAATATATGTCAGTATATACTTTCTGGCTATAATTACATACAATTAAGTATGCATAGGAAAAGAGAGAGAAAACAGCAGATGAGTACAGCAAAATGTTAAGCGTGTGGCCAGGCACAGTGGCTCATACCTGTAATCCTAGCACTCTGGGAGGCTGAGATGGGAGGATTGCTTGAGCTCAGGCGTTTGAGACCAGCCTGAGCTAGAGTGAGACGCTGTCTCTCCTAAAAATAGAAAAAAATATTAGCCAGGCAACTAAAAATAGAAAAAAATAGGTGGGTGTGGTGGTGAACACCTGTAGCCCCAGCTATTCCGGAGGCTGAGGCAGAAGGATTGCTTGAGCCCAGGAGTTTTAGGTTGCTGTGAGTGAGGCTGATGACATGGCACTCTAGCCTGGGCAGCAGAGTGAGACTCTATCTCAAAAAAAAAAATGTTAAAAGTGGTAATCTTTGGAAAGTGTAACTATGGATGATATAATTTATTTTCTGTATTTTACAAATTTCCTATGAAAACAGACATTAACCTTCAGATAGAAAAAAGTAAACTTTTTTTAAAAATAAAACTTTCACAGGGGAAATTTTTGTAGTAATGGGGAATCAGCCAACCTGACATTTCATAGAGCTTTCAGTGGGCTAAAAGCAGAGTATCTGTCACAGCTGCAGACACAAAGGATGCTTCATGCTTTCCTACTCCCCGAGAATAGAAAAATGGTAAATGGGCTGAATTTATATCAGGAAAGATTAAAAATTAAAGCACTTTCTATCTAAAAATAGCAAGGAGTGGCCTGGATGTTTCTAGCACTTTCTTCAGGTCTATCTTCCTGTGAACTGGCCAAGAGGGATAAAGACATTCCTATAGTTATTTCCCCCAGCATTCTAGCAAAATCGCATGGCTTTTGATTAGCAATGTTTAAGGCTTTTAAAATAAAAAATATGCAGTTTTTGTATGCAAGGCCATGAGAAATAATTGCACATCTTGAGTAATTTGATCTTGAATTTAAAATAGTAATTAGGACCAAAACTTCTTATTGTTGCTTTCGTCAATGTGAACAGAGAGAGCTTGGATGTGACAGGTGTATAAATCACCCTCAAGTGACAGCACCAACAGCATGTGATTTATATGCCTAGCTCATAATCCCACATTATTACTCTGGAATATCTCTTGGTAAGATGTGAGTTGGGAGGTGGGATTCAGTCTTAGGTCTACTTCATTAAGAGAAAAATAAGCATGCAAGAGAAAGGACCAATTCTTTTTTTCTTTTAAAATTACCATCCTCAACTATAAACATATATCAAAATATATAGTATATTTCAGAAACTGGTTACAAAAAAGATAAAAGATGGTATTTTTCTCCCACCCCAAAAAATCAAAGGAATAAAAAATACCCTCCCCCAAATAAAAAAAAAAACCCTTTCCTATGTGGTTTGGAAGACAAGACACACACGTTAAGAAAGAGATAATATAAGAAGGGGATACATGGTAAGAACAAAGTAGAAGCAGAGCTTTTAACTGGGGCAGGGAGCTCCAATGAGGAATAGAAACTAAATGAGCCTTCCTGGAACGGAAGATGAAGGTTGGAAAAGCAATGAAAAGCGAGGACACCCCAGGAAGGTCTTTGAATGCACCAAGACTCAGATACAGAGCATGGGCCATGTTTGGAAGGCAGAGTACATACCAACTGGGCAATAGCAAAGAATGCAAGTTGGGGAGAGATATATTTGGAAAATTGGGGAATGGTCATATTGTGGATGAAATTCCACATCTTATTTAAAAGTCTCGATTTTACCCTACAGTACAGAACTTTCAACCGCACACTCTGGAGTCAGACAAAGGTTTGAATCTCATTTGATCCATTGTGTGACCTTAGGGGTGTTAGTTATTTTTCTTTCTTTCCTTTTTCTCTTCCATTTCTCCTTTCTTTCTTTTTTTTTTTTTCTTCTTTTTTTGAAAAAAAAAAGCTTCGCTTTTTAACTTTTCATTATGACAAATTTTTAAAGATATACCACAGAAATAGAGGGAACTGTGCAAAGCATCTCCACATACCCATACCTCCCATTTAACAACCATCAATATCCAATCTGTTGTTTCATCTACACCCTTCCTACTCCCTTCTCACCATAGTCCTCACTTATTACATTAAGTGTCTGGGCAAAACTTGTGTATAGCGCATGTTTAAGGAGGCCCTACTGGTGGGAGGGGCTAGGAAAGATGCCTGGAGAGGGCCTATGTGCAAGGGGTGTTGAAAGCACTATTGCCTATGGAGAAAGTGGGGTTCCACTCTAGGTCTCATGCTTTAAACCACCTGCTTCCGCCCTCCTCTGGCCACCATTCCCACAGGGCAAGGTGTCCCACTGCAAGGTATCGCCTAGATCCCATACCTCCCTCAATAAGAATTCCCTGCCCCAACAGCTTGAGGCCACTTTCAGGGCATGCTCTGGCCCCTGTTCGTGTGCCACTAGATCCCAGAGGTAGGCAAGGCAGCTGGCTGAGAGAAGGATGTGGGCAGAGCTTGGACATGTGGGCTGAGTCACACACATATGCATGAGGCCCCCTGAGATATTCAAAGCAAGAGTAGGGAGGAAGAAAGGGTCCCCCTTGTTCCTGAAGAACAAGAGCTCCATCTGGAGCTCCGCTCTTGCCCCAAAACCCACAAACATTAAGGACAGCCCTCAAAAGTAAGGGACATCTACAATTTTTCTTAATATTCTTAAATTTAAATTTATGCCACTCATGTCCTTTGTCAAGTCAGCTCATAGGACCAGATAAGCATTGTCTGAATCCTGAGACAGAACAAAGATTACACATGAAACAGTGAAGTTGGCCAATATGGTTGTCATCAGAAGAACAAGGTTACACTCCATCATGAGTTCAAAACAGACCAAAATTCCAGCAGTGAGCAGATCTTTTAAAGGACTTTATCAAAGGATTAAAGTGAGCCCCTTCCTTCTTCCCCAGTTACACTCCATCCTTGCACCCGGATCCTCCTGAAAAACAAAAATATCCCCAGTATAGAAAACTTTCCGCCTAATTCTGAGACACAGGGAAACTTATTTGACCTTGGAACTCTCCCTATGGTATTTAAAACAAAGACCACACTTGTAAAAAACACAATTCGTCTTTATTCACATGTGTCATTGTGGAAGACTGGAAATGCTAGTGATAATACCTATTACATCCAAGCATTTAGCCATTAACATGCATGGGGATAAACTTTCTTTCTAGTCCATGTGAAAAAAGAAAGAAAGAAAACGCCTGAGGAAGGGAGGCGGGTGCTATATGCCTTAATAGGCATATACCTAAAGGGAAAGAAAAGAATAGAAAAGACAAAGTAGGGCAGCCCACGACAGCAATTAGGATTTTTTATTCCTGAGTGGATAATATGTGGTTTCATTTAAGTAAAAACACAATCTCCATTAGCTTAATTTGTAAAAGCAATAACTCCAACACTCACAGCTAGTGCCCTAGTAAGGCAATTTTAGACACATCATTGCTACTTTGAAATTAAAAGTGAATCAGTCCTATGGAGTTAACTACCAGTAAATTAATCTAAAGTGGGCCTGCCACGTGGCATGGAGCCAGCAAGAGATGGTTCTCAGCATTAGCCAGAAACATTGCAAGATACAGGTATATAGTTGAAAAGCTAATTTATATTAAAGGATGGCAAATGTTTATATGAGCAGCGGGAGAAATCATTTGCAATATCCACAGTGAAAAGCAAGGATAAAGGCCCAACTAGAAGAAGACTTTTTTGAAAGAGATTTATAAAAGTGTCACCCAACTGCCTCTCCCCACAAGAAAGGAAAATCCTCAGCTCTCTGTTGCTTTTGCAGCCTATTCCCCAAAGCTTACAGAAAGGAAATTATACTTATTTCTTTTGAATGCTAGTATATGGACTTTTATCTAATTATGGCAAGTAGAAATAATTTTAGAAACTAAAAATAAAATGAGATAAAGCCAGCAAAAAGAAGCTACTTTCATCGCTAGTGCTTTGGAATACCATGTCCTCTGTTACAGTGTTCTCAAGGAGATATGCAAGAAAACCAGAGACAAAAGAAGAAAAAAACACGGAAGAATGGTTATTGAACTTTAATTAAATATTTGAATCAAAGAAAATGGGAACAGATGAAACTTTAGTAAGAGAGAAATGGTACATGCACAAAGGGATAGATTAATAAAATGGCTGCTGATCTATTATTGGTGATGAACATATTTGTTCTGTTTTGTTTTACTAAAAACAAGTCAAAAATTTCCTGCAGCTCCCATAATTATTCAAATGCACAAGCATTCCTAATATCCTGGCTTCAACTGTCCGGGAGGGCAACAAAGCAAACCGGTTTTGGTCCTGAATTATGCAGTTAATTGTAGCTGTTTGGGCCCAGATCTGATGCAGTTAGCAGTCAGAATGCTAACATATGGGTTGTTAAAATCACTTTCTTCCCATTTTATTTTTATAAAGTGATTTTACACAATTTTGAATTTCAGATATTTCTAGAAAAATTTAGTAAACCAAAGGTGAAAATGACAAACCTCAAATAATACATTTGAGAACAGATTCCCATTTGAACCGTTCATTATATATAACTGAGTTTATTATACTTCCTTCAACAGTCACAATATTAATGTTAAATGTTATGGTAATATATACGAACTACATAAAAACAGTGTTGCTTTCTAATGTGTGGCTTGTTTAAACCCTAAAAGAGCACAGCTGGCTTTGCAGATCCATCTTGACTGTGATTCCATTTGCAAGATAAAGTCCCAATTGGGAGTTTTCTCATAAATTGGGTCAAGACAAGAACTCTACGTACCCAGAGGTGTCTCTGTGTCTCTTTTCAAATAACTGAAGGCCATTTCTTCTGGTGTCTGGAAGAAGTAAAATGTCCTTGTCTGATGGGTATCGCTTTAGCATACCACATGCCCAATAAGTTCTAGCATCTAGGAGCATGCAATAGCAGCTAATATTAGCTATACAGTCATGGTATTATTAGTGTTTAATTATATCATGTGCATTGAGATATTTTAAATGTTAAAGAGAAACAGAAGGACTTATTCTCCTTAGCAACCATTATAGTACAGAATGTTCAAAGCTGCAATCACACTCATAAGGCAAATAAATTGGTTACAAAATGAGGTTAGCAACAAGTGTGCATGCTATAGAAAATGTGAAACTGGTACCTAAAATAGATAACTTCCTTATTTATTTTCAAAATTCAAGCGCTGGCTCAGACCATCAATTATCTAACTGCAAATTTTTCACGTTAACACTCAATGCCGATTTTCCATCTTATGAGTGCAATAAAGGGAGTGTAAAATGATTTTTTTCTCTCACTGGCTAAGATTCTATCGCATTCAAGAATGACTTTATAAAAACCCTTTTAAGAATAAAGGGCTTAAGGTCTCAATGGAAACTCACACTGGTGTGTACTTTTGTAGCTTCAATCTTCCAGGTTAACAAAGACTAAATTGGAACATAAGCATCATCAAAGACAGATTACCTCCTAAAATACCTCCTACATATTATTTCCTTCCTCAGTATTACTTCCTTTGGCTCATGCACACTCAAGGCGCTTCATATATAAGACAATGAAGGTGGGAAGAGTTATATGTTAAGAAAGCTCTTTTTCAAAAACAAACTCTGTTGAAATAAATTAACCAGTTATATTAAAACGGCAGTTTGCAAGTTCTTGAAGTCTCTGGAGTGTTGACTTTAGGATTTCTCTAAAACACAGAAACAAAGGGTAAAAATCAGGTGGCCGTCCAAAATGACTTCGGGGGCCCCATTTATGCAGAGGCCTTGGTTCAGGTACACCACTGGGGTCAAAGGCAAAATCTTTGCCCTGGTTTTTTGGCTTTGCCGCGGAAGTCTTCTTTCCGGCAGGGGATCACTTAGGAGGGAAGGAGGAGATGGTGACCAAAGACGGTGGAAGCCGGGAATCTCCGCTTCCCTCGGGCCCTGGGGGGGTTACCAGTGCTGGCCGGCGGCGCGGGTGCCCAGCTGCGCCTGAGACACTGCGGGCACAGCCGTGGCTGCAACGGCGGCAGCCGCCGCGTCGCCGACGCCGGGCAGGACGGAGCGCACGGAGCGGCGGAACTCCTCGTTCCTCCACGTGTAGAGCAGCGGGTTGAGCGCGGACAGGGCGCAGCACAGGAGCCAGCTGGCCGCCTGCACGCCCCAGGGCACCGGCAGCGAGAAGCCGCTAGCCAGGCTCACCCACACCAGTGGCTGCGTGGCCAGCAGGAAGACACAGCAGAGCAGCAGCACCGACAGGCCACTGAGACGCCGCTGCGCCCGCCGCGGGTGCAGTGCGGGCGGCAGGGGCTGGGCCTGCGCGGGGTGCGCGGCGCCGCCGGGGCCCGGCGCGTGCGGGGCGCCCGGGAAGGCGGCGGCGGCGGCGGCGCAGCCGGGCAGCTGGTGCAGCAGGTGGAAGTTGAGCACGCTGACCCGCTTGACGCTGACGCGCACGCGGCGCACGATGCCCAGGTAGCAGTGCAGCAGCAGCGCCGTCTGCGCCAGCAGCGCCGCGGCGGCCAGCAGCGCCGGGTAGTGCACGCGCGGCGGCGCAGCCCCGGGCCGCGGCGCCCAAGGCGGGAGCAGCAGCACGAGGCCCAGGGCGAGCGCCCAGGACAGCGCCAGCATGCCCGCTGTGTGGCGCCGCTGGTACAGAGCCTGGTAGGTGGCAGGCGCCCGGGTGATGAGCAGGTAGCGGTTCAGGGCCACGAGGCAGTGGGACAGGAGGGACACCGTGAGCCCGAGGCCCAGCAGCCCGCCCCGCAGTAGGCGGTAGCTGCCCCCGGCGCCGTCCCACTCCCCGGGGGGCTCCGGGGAGCCGGCGGGCAGGAGCCCGAGCACCGCCTCCTGCGGCATCCAGAGGGCGCAGACGCTGAGGTCGGCGGCGCAGCCGTTCACGATGAAGGCGTTGCTGGTGGTCTGCAGCTTTCGGAAGGACGACACGAGATAGATGACCATGCCGTTGGCCAGCGTACCACCGATGGCCAGCCCCGAGTACAGGAGGGACACGGGGATGCGCCGGCCCGCCCACGACTCCTCTTCCTCGCAGAGCAGCAGCAGCGATCCCCCGGTGGTGGAGGAGGTGGACGTGGAGGAGGAGTTGGTCATTCTGGCCAACTCTTCACACCTCGCTCGCTAGCGTCGCCTTCTCGCAGCGCGGCCCATCCTGACACTTGCCTGCCTGCCGGGAGGGCAAAGACAGCCCTTCAGCCCTCTGCCACCAACACAAAAGGCTGAAGCAGAATAATGGGCTGGGGGAGGGGGAGAAAGGGAGCTCGAGGAGAACGGGGGTGGCAGATGACAGGTGCCTGCCTCGGAAATGTCTCCAGATCCAGGGGAAAGGCCTCTTTGCATTGCATTTGGCAGGCATGGGGGAAGCCCTGGGACAGAGAAATACCAAGAACAGTCTCCCCTTTCCTCCCCCCAAAACACACACACTCACACACACACACTCACACACACACACTCACACACACACACTCACACACACACACACACACACACACACACACACACACACACATATTGCCAGCTGGAGCCTCTGCTTTCGAGGAGAAAATAGAGCTATCCCAGCTGGGAAAAATGCCCCGGGGAAAGGGATGGAATACCTTGTGTTGGGGCTGGTCCTTAGCTGGCGATGTAGAGAGAGGGATTCCAGGAAATACCTCCTCAGCAACAGCATCTGCGGTCCAGAAATCAACAGGAGAAACTCAGCTGGGACCAGTGCCAGGAGCAAGTGCCCGCTTCTCCTAAGCAGCATCCACACACATGGTCCTAGGCAGGAGCCAGCAGCTGCAGGGAGACTTCTCAGCTGGCAGCAGGGCTGCAAGCCCGGGCGGGTGGGCAGGCAGGCAGCAGCAGCAAGAATGCTTGGCTGCAAAAGCAGAAGCTGAGCTCATGAGGAGAGCACCCTGTGCTCAGAAGCAAGAGTGGTGGCTGATGTGGTGAACCCACTCGAAGCTCTCTCCTGCTCAGTTATACATCACCCAGAGAAAAGACAGCCTTTCCACGCTCTGCATGAATTATTCAATAGCTTCTAACTTGTAAAAGGAAGAAAAATATCTTGCTCAGAAAGTCCTGTAGTTAACGAGTTTCTCTTTTCTCTCTCCTTCCCTCATCACCTTAGTTTTCATTCTGCTTCATTTTTCTTTCCTTCTTTTTTTCCCTCTCCCTTCAATATTAGAATAGAATTTAATATACCCCCAGTGTTTTTCAGCTCAACCTGATGCATTCTGGGGGCAAAATTTTTCTAGAGATAAATACACTCCCAATACCTGGGACTGATCTCTTCATTTCCACATTTTCAGGGAGGATTACTTTACATTCCAATTGAAATTCATCTTTTCTTTAGTAAAGTGGGACATGGATAATTATCCACAGAAAATCTCCAATCCCCAATTTAAATCATAATTTCAGTTTTTTCTCATCACCAGAGTTCTCATCACCAAACTCCTTACCAAAGTTTGGCTTGTGTTTTAGTAATAAAATGGTTAGAGGGCAAAGATGAAGTGGTCAGAAGGTTTAAAGTAGGTGATAGTGGTACATCTGGACAATGGAATATTATTCAGTGCCAAAAAGAAAGGAGCTATTCAAGCCATGGAAAGACCTGGAGGAAACTTAAATGCTTATTACAAAGTGAAAAAAGCCAATCTGAAAGGGCTCCACACTGTGTGATTCCAACCATATGGCATTCTGGAAAAGGCAAAACTATGGAGACAGTCAAAAGGTCAGTGGTTGCTAGGGTTAGGGGGAAGGGAGTGATGAATAAGTGGATCGCAGAGGATTTTTAGAATTCTGAAACTACTCTATGATGCAATGGTGGATACATGTCATTACAAATTTGTCCAAATTTGCAGAAGGTATAGCACCAAGAGTGAACCCTAATGTGAATTGTGGACTTTGGGTGATGATGATGTGTCAACGTACATTCAACAACTATAACAAATGAACCACTCTGGTGGGGATGTTGAGAAGGGAGGAGGCCAGGCATGTGTGGGGCTGGGGGTTATGGGAAATCTCTGTACCTCTTGCTCAAATTTGCTGTGAACCTAAAATTGCTCTAAAATATAAAGTCTATTTAAAAATAGGTGTCAGAGGAAACAAGGAACCTGAATAATCCACCCAGTGTGAACAAAAAAGATGGCTTTTCACTTCAGGAGTTTTTATCTTATGGTCTGTCTTAGAGATTTACAGTCTGATGTTGAAATCTTCTCTGGTAAAAGCACTCGTTTATCCATTCCATGTGGGAAGTTTTTCACAAAAGCCATCCTCTCTAATAAATCATTTTTCAATAAGAAAATCGTGTATTTGAATATTTAACCCAGTGTGGGATATGGTAACAAGACATAGTGTAAAAACTGCTAGGTGGGGTTGCAGGACACCTAGGGCCCCAGCCAGGCATCCATCAACTGGCCTTGTGATGGATTATTTTCATGCTGTCACATAAGACGTTTCCACTCAGTGACTTCAAGTTCTCTTTCTGCAACTTTCTGTGAATCCCTGTTCATGAATTGAGCATTTTTTCTCCCTAGTTCTGACACTCAGCATATACCTCTTCTCTCTAAACTATAATGTAGTCCTGGGTCATATGGCAGGAATCTTTTCCAGTCTGTCCCTAAGAGTAATGTTTCAGGATGAAGGTCATAAGTTACCTCCTTGCCTTTGTTCTTTCTTTTTTCAAACCAATATGGTTAGTTAATGACTGTTAAGAACTCCAATGAGGGTAAGACTGAGCATGACTGATGGATTTAGTCCAGTTGGGCTGTACCTGAGTGAAACTGGCTGGGGGCAGGAGGTCATTGTCAAAGAAAACCAGCGACATGCTATTCAAAGGAGGTTTAGATATCAAGTTTATTGACGTTAAGGAGCATTTGACATCATCTTTTTGGCTGTTGTCATTCATCTTTATTGAGGTTTTGGCTACATTAAAGTACAGCAAGCCTGCTGGAGATTCTTCTAATCATTTATTGTTAAAACTTGTCATTGGAGCCAGGCTCAGTGTGGCTCACGCCTGTAATCCTAGCACTCTGGGAGGCCGATGCAGACAGATCACTCAAGGTCAGGAGTTTGAAACCAGGCTGAGCAAGAGTGAGACCCTGTCTCTACTAAAAATAGAAAGAAATTAATGGGCCAACTAAAAATATAGAAAAAATTAGCCAGGCATGGTGGCGCATTCCTGTAGTCCCAGCTACTCGGGAGGCTGAGGCAGAAGGATCACTCAAGCCCAGGAGTTTGAGGTTGCTGTGAGCTAGGCTGACGCCACAGCACTCACTCTAGCCTGGACAACAAAGTGAGACTCTGTCTCAAAAAAAAAAAAAAAAAAAAAAAAAGACTCTGATAGAATGTCACAAGAGGGTCTTCAAATTACAGATCCTTGGTCCCAGCTGCTCCTTCACGTGTTCTTTTTGAGAATGAGCAAAGTACCTGCTGAGGGACTTCAGGCTCTTAAGTCACACATACTTCTGCCCAGGCTGTGTCTCCTTTAGCCCTAACCTGACAGGGGCCAAATTTTTGTTTGTTTTTGGATTTGGTTTTGTTTTCATCTTAAGTAACTTAATCAGGGGTCCTCAAACTTTTTAAACAGGGGGCCAGTTCACTGTTCCTCAGTCCGTTGGAGAGTGTGCACTGTGGGCCCAGCACGAGTAGGCTGCTAAGCAGGACAGGCAGCGGCTGGCAAAAACATCTGGCGGGCTGGATAAATGTCCTCAGCGGGCGCATGTGGCCCTCGGGTCATAGTGTGAGGACGCTTGATATTAGATAATATAAGGTGAGGATTTTTCTATCTTATTCACAGCACCAGGATAGTACCTGGCACATAGTAGATACTTAACAAATACTTATTGAATTAATGAATGGATGGAAGTATAAGTTATTTCATTTTCTTTTTTTTTTTCTTTTTTTTTTTTTTAGTAACACAGTAAGTGGTTTCTATGAGCATCTCTTTCCTCATGGCTCCAGCAGGAACTTACTCAACGAATCACCCCATATGATGCATCTTCAGTCTCTCTCCTCTCCACTGGTTGCTGCCCTTTGGCCTTACAAAAATGCTGATTTCACCACAACCTAATAAAACTTCCCTGGAATTTCACCTCATTGTCGAGGTGCCTACACATAGTTCACTTCCATTTCCAGTAGACTTGCTTGCTTTCTGTTTCTACTTCCTGTTCTCCCATTGAATGCCCACCCATATTGCCTTTAGCTCTCACCACTCCACAGATACAGCTTTGGCTAAGGTCAGCAGCAGCCTCTGAGGAGCAGACCCGGTGACCCCTACCTCCTTGCCCTCTTTACTTTGTGGAACTTAATGGAACTCTCCACCAGGCTGGCCTCTCTACCCCTTCATCCATCGCTTTCTCCTGTAGTCACGCTTTGGTTAAAAGTCCCCAGTAAGTTACCCTGGTGTTTCTAACAATCCACCATCAAATATGGTGTTTGTTTTAGTTTTCTGATATATTGTCTATAAGTCAGGGACATTTCGATCTAATTCTAGTAAGAGTTTTTATATGAAATGAATGGTTTTTCCCTTTAACTTAATGTGGGTTATACTTGATATATTTTAAAAAGTTGAGTCATCTTTGTATTCCTCTGATAAGCCCTATTTGGTCACGATATATTAATGTTATACTTTTTAAATAGACTGCTCAATTCTACTTACTAATATTTTATTTAAGATCTTTGCATCATAAGTAAAACTCACTTAGCTTAATTTTCTTGTGTCATCTTGTCCTTTCTTAGTTTCAGGGTTATGATAAAATCTCCCTCAGGAGAATCATAAACACCACCATTGCTAATGTTACTGAGTACATACTATCTGTACCAAGCATTGTTTTGAGTATTTTTCATACCCTGTTTCATTTAAATCACATGTAAGGCCTATAAGGAACCCAGGCCCACCCTTAAATTTGCAGGGCATGGCAGGAGTTCAAATGGGGGCGGGGGGTTGCATTTTAAAATGCACAAATTAGGCTATTAAATACATTTTATTCTCCTAACTTGATGAATATACTTATATGATAAGCAGAAAGCCAGAGTCAAATGTAGAATTCTCAGACTCATAGGTTGCTCCAGGCTACTGGAATGTGACAACTTGGAGAACATGTCTCTGGCCTGCCATCTACCCCTATATTTCTCCTCACCCTCTGCTCTGTCATCACATGCCATCAAGGCCTCTTGTTTAATGTGGTACACTCCAGCCTGCTTATCCAAGTCCCATCCACACCCCTGTCACACAGCCGACTCTTGGCAACATCTCAGACCTAGGGTGGTACCTGGAAGACATGGTCAGCCTCCAGGGATAAGCCAGAAAAGAAGTTCAAGCAGAACTTGGACACATGCTCATGGCCACTGGGCAGGAAATTCCAGGGTCCTGATACTGGACATAGTCTAGAAAGGGAATGAGCTCTCGGTGACCTTGTCCCCTATATCCATTTAATAGATGAGAAAATTGAATCAAGAGGAGGTTAAATAACTTGCCCAAGACCATACAACTAGGAAGTGGTAGAACTGGGATTCAAACGTATGTTATTGGGCCCATACACAACCTCTATACTGTGTTGCCTTCCTTGGTAAAGTTTAATTTCCTAAACATGGCTTAGCTGCTATAGATTAAGGCACTGTAACAAGCTGACCCAATACTACAGTGGTTCCGAAAATAAAGAATAGTTTATTTTTCTCCCACGGAGTTAAATGAGCAATGAGCAACCCAGGTGGAAGGCAGATCTACCCCACAAGGTAATCTAGAAATCCAGTTGTCTATACCACCATCACCTAGGTCAATAGTATTCAAAATGGGGTCTCTAATCAGCAGCAGCACTTGGGAATTTGTTAGAAATGATTCAGACTCATTGAATAAGAATTTCTGGGGATAGGGCCCAGTAATCTGTGTTTTAACACACTCTACAGGTTACTCAGGTGCATGCTAAGGTTATCCTTGTCTACATGGCTGAGGTTGTTTCACCAAGACCATGTTCGAATTTCGGCCCATAGAGATAAACAAAGAAAAAAGGGAGGGCAGCCATCCTCCTTTTTAAGGATGTAACCTGAAAATTTCAGACATCACTTCTGCACACATATCAGTGGCCAAAACTTTGGTCACACGGCTGCTTCTTGCTGCAAGAGAAGCTGGGAAATGGACCCCTGGCTGGATGGTCACGTGGCCCTGCCAAAGTTCAGCAGAGCAGGAAAATGAGAGATTGAATCCTGGGGTGGAAGGGGTGCAACTTGCAGGTTTATGGCACAGAGGCCAAGTCAGTTTTATCATTTGGGCCTTATAAGCACAGAGCTCAGAGCCTGCCAGCTTTTCAAGACCCTTTAAAAATGTTTGGTATCTCCCATGGAATACTACTCAGCTTTAAGAAACAACGGTGATATAGCACCTCTTGTATATTCCTGGATACAGCTGCAACCCTTTCTACTAAGTGAAGTATCTCAAGAATGGAAAAACAAGCACCACATGTACTCACCAGCAAATTGGTATTAACGGATCAACACCTAAGTGGACATATAGGAATAACATTTATCGGGTGTTGGGAGGGTGGGAGGTGCGAGGAGGGGATGGGTATATACAACCACAATGAGTAAGATATGCAACGTTTGGGGGATGGACATGCTTGAAGCTCTTACTAGAGGGGGGAGGGGGACATGGGCAATATATGTAACCTTAACACTTGTACCCCCATAATATGCTAAAATAAAATAAAATAAAAAAATGTTTGGTATCTGAAAAAAAAAATTAATGGCCCTGAATACAAAAGGAAACCTTTAAAGAGAAATTAATATGTTATTGAGTAGTCAACTACAATTCAACTTATTATTTATAATTTAAGATGGAATTGGGGTACATTTTAATATGTTTGATATAATGTGCAGTGGGGTCTCCAAAAGTATCTAGATCTGCAGAAGTCTTAAAGCAACCCTGCATAGAGAAGTCCCCATGTGACCTCTCTACCCCATCCCTCCCTCTTCTATCTCTGTTCTAGCCATAGTGTGAAAGTTGCCTTCTCTGAGTGTGCCCCAGTTTCTCCTCTCTGCCATCTGGGCATCTTCCTCTGTTGAGGGAAATGCTGTTCCTTCAGCTGCCTCTCTGCCCCCACAACCTGCCCTCACTTTTCCCCAGCTACGTTCTATTCATCTCCCAGGTCCGAGCCCAGACTTTACCTACTGAAGGAATTCTTTCTTGCTATAGTTTGAATGTTTGTCCTCTCCGAAGCTCATGTTGAAACTTAATTCTCAATGTGGTAGTATTAAGAGGTGTGGCATTTAAGAGGTGATTGGTCATAA